ACCTGAAATAAGCATTCACACTGGATCTCTCTACTTGATTCTCTAACAAATACAGGTGAGCAGGACTAAAAAGCTGGCCCACTCAGGGAGTAAATGAAATGGATTTTAAGCCTGGTTTTGATGAGGCACGTTCTCCTGGGAATGTTCTGTTGCAGAATGGTAAAAAGTGATGAGAACTCCACTTGGTCTTTCTAGGTCATTGGACTTATTGTTGAGTTACACTTTCAATTAATATTCATAGGTAACTTGCTATAAATCTAGCTAGTGGAACAATTTCTTGCCAACAATGGACCCTTTTGACTTTCAACCACTGGCTTTTTGAAACTCTTTTGTTAAAATAATTTTTATATTTGTTTGTTACTATTAAATGAGTTATTTACCAGAAGCTTAGAAAATTATGCTTATATGACTAGAGTTCAGAATAGCTCAAAATAGTCCCATCATCAGAGCAAAATAAGGTAGAAAGAGCCTCCTTCCTGTTATAGACAGGACTGGGAACATCAAGCACATGATAGCATTACTTAAGGGGATGAAGAGAACATGGATCATTACATCCAGTGTTACCATGAAAGAAACATGATGTCATGTAATATTTATTTCTGCTGTAGCCAATGATCAGCCATGATCAGTTTCTAGTTAGAAAATGTTATCCCATCTGTAAAGCACTGGAGGAGGAACTCGTTGTCCTTATTAACTTATGGCAGTTTGCATGCCTTCCCCTTCATCAGAAGGTTGCAGTTGTCTTTGACAACATCTGCTATTATGTCTGCTCAAATTCTTCACCCAAAACTTACCAGAAAGCAAAGAGAGAGGGGCAGGGTTGGGGGATCCTAATTTCCTTTTCAAGGAGATGCCTCCAGTGACCTAACTTCCTCCCAGTGGAATTGTTTGTAGATGTTACAAAATCCCTTGTCTTCTCATCTTTCTGAGTGCAACTGCCTCAGGGAAGCTGTTTTATAGATATGATGGATGGATTTCAGTTTCTTGAGCTGTTCCTCTTTTTATTTTGTTCCCTCATTTCTACGTTAAGCTCCAATGGCCATTCTGATCTTGCATGTGAAGAGGGATGACTTCAAAGCCAATTCCCGTCTACTTCTAGTCCATGCCCCACATTTATAGGTGCATTGGTGACTGTTCTCTTGGCTGACTTGACCACTCATGAGCCTTCATTTGCTGTCCTGTGCTTTAGTCTTTCTCCAGATGTTCCCTGCTTGATCTAATTGTTTTGCTCTACTGCTTAGTATTGCTCCTCACTATAGTTTGGATCTGATCTGTTTCCCAAAGGCCCATGTGTTAAAGATGGAGAGCCCCAGCATAAAGCACTGTGGGGAGGAGATGGAACTTTTAAGAGGTGGGGCTTACTGGGAGGAAGTTAGGTCACTGGAGGCATCTCCTTGAAAAGGAAATTGGGATCCCCCAACCCTGCCCCTCTCTCTTTGCTTTCTGGTAACTATATGAACAGCCTTCCTCTCTCTTGTACTCCTGCCATGAGGTACTGTGCTGCCACAGACCCAGAGCAACAGGGCCAAGCAACAGACTGTTCAGACTGTAAGCTCTGAAACTGTGAGCCAAAATAAACCTCTCTTCTTCTGAAGTGGATTATCTCACATATTTTTGTCATAGCGATGGAGAACTAACACACTTCTCCTTGTTATTGCTATTAGAATTTTCCTTCACATGCTATGTCCCAGAATATTTCTAATTTTAGTATTCAGGTCATGGTTTCAAAGCACTTTTTTTTTTTCTTGGTACCAAGGATTGAACCCAGGGGCACTCAACTACTGAGCCACATCCCAAGCCTCTCCTTTCTCCCCACCATTTTGTATTTTATTTTGAGACAGGGCCTCACTGAGTTGCTTAGGGCCCCACTAAATTGCTGAGGCTGGCTTTAAACTTGCAAACCTCTTGCCTTGGCCTCCTGAGTCACTGGAATTATAGGTGTGTACCACAGAACCCAGCTCAAAATACGTTGTAAGGCCCAAAGAGTTCCCTTCAATAAATACTTTGGTCTGCATGAAACCAATAATTTTCAAGGGAAAACATAAAATCCATTTACAATAAGATGGTCATAGAGCAACTTCATGGATGCAAAGCAAAGGGGAATACATCATTGCACCTATGTGCAGTAAAAAAGTGAAGACATTAGAACTACTAATTACCATTTCAGATCTATTTCTACAGGGCCAAGAAAGAAGAAATTTAAAACTGCTATAAATATGGTTGTCCCACACACTGCTAATTACCTACTAAAGTGCTATTTACTCTCTAATGATAAAATATCAATTGTGTCCAGGTATCTAGTGACCCTGGAATTGAGGAGAAGCTGGATCCTCCCCCCACCTTTGTAATCACTCTAAGACAACCATGAAAATTACACTCTCTTACCTACTATTAGTTTAAGAATGAGAACATGGTACTATAAGAGCCAATAAGATAAACCTACTGGGGGGGGGGGAATTTCGGAAAGTTTCCCTCCATCCTAAAAAGGGTTACAAAAGGAAGACATTCCCTGTTCTGCCTTGAAATGTTTTTATGTAAGGTTAAAATACATAGGCTTTGGCAGGCATTTCGTGACTATGCCTTATAGTTTGAAGATGGAAAGATATAACAATGGTAACTGATAATACCTAGCTTCTTGATGAGGTTGTTGAGCCCCTAGAATTAACCATTCCCAGCACTATGACACCTCTAAACTTCCAGTAATGTGACTTACAAAGTTTACTTCTGTTTAAGTCAGTTTAAATTGGGTCTTCTATAGAAGTGCAACTGATTACACTCTGACTGATAAGCTGGTCCAAGTTGTTAGTTCCTACAGTGGTTGTTTATATGCAGTGAAAAGGTTAAAAGGTGCTTTGACATCTCTTGTAGGTTTTAATCATGGTGACCTAGATCAGTCACAGGAAAATTTTTGCATAAGTTATTTATAGTGCATTATGCAATTTTAACAGGTTTATATTGCATTTTATCTATAAGTAAAACATTTGACATCGTTTGACCAAAATACACACAGGCATGCCCATGTGCATGGGAGCACATGCACACATGTGGACACACACACACACATACTCTAAAGCAAAATAAAACTATGTGAAAATGATATTTCCCAAGACGGATTTTCTAAAAATACAAAAACTGACTTGTAAGATATCCACTATATGCAAATATACTACATCAGTGAAATAATGACACATTTAAAATCAGACAGCATGGATTGAAAATGTATGTATCTGAATATATCCACAAGGGACTGATTATTAAAGTAATTTCTTAAATTTTAATCAAACCTGGTCTTCTATTAAAAATATTTGAGCATTTAAAAATGAGGAATCATGAATGTAGGAGTTCTTTTTTTCCATGGAATATGATCCAAGACCCTCAGTAGGAATCTGAATCAATAGATAGTATCAAATCCTGAATATAGTAAGGTTTTTCCTAGACGAACTGAGCAATACCACAAAATATGAGTTACTTGCTGCCTACATGTTTTATGCCCTGGTGCCTCTTTGGAGTACTACTCTTGAGCTTTGGGGCTATTATTAACTTTTAAAAAATGGGTCATACAAACCCTGTGCTACCTTGGCAGTCAATCTCATAATAAGAGAGGCTGCTAAGGGATGGATGATCAGGCCATATACATATGTGGCTACACTGGAGCAAGGGATGATTCTCTTTTGGGGCAGCTGAAGGGGGATGGATGACATATTTCATCACTCAGAAAGGCATGTAATTTAAGACTTATGAATTATTTATTTCTGGAATATCCCATGCAATATTTTTTAGATTACTGTTGACTGTTGGCATCTAAAATTAATAATAGTGAAACTTGGGTGAGAGGAGATGACTATATTGCAATTTATAAAACTATGATAAAAATATATGCTGTTTGATATGGACAAGCAGTCTGAGAAGGTGGCTAAGAATATCTAAATTAAATATGTATATGAGAAACATAAGAATTAACAACATATCTAAATAATTATTCATTTTGCTTGAGGATCTATATTTCTAAAAACTTTAAGAACCCAAAATATTAAGTAAGTGTTTTAATACAACAAATATGAAAATTGAAGAGCATAAATAAATATGAGAATGTATTTAGCCATGAGAAATCCCTCTGAAGTAAACTGGGGAATTAAGTATAAAACTGTATAAAACTAACACTTGAGCTTTGCTCAAAAAGTGCTTGTGTAGAATGGCAGTATTTTTAACTATTTTCTGCATTTTAAACTGAAGAATGCCCTTGTTTTTATACACAAAAAATTTATTTGGTACCAAATCAAGATAGATGGAATATTCTAAAACAGATGCTGTTGGCTCACCTGAAAGTATTTGATTTATGGATATTAGGTTCAATTGAATATTCATGAGGTGATTCATTTTAACAAGCAATGAGCATAATATAATTGTTTTGTTTTATTGGTGCTTAGGATCAAGCCTATGGCCTTGCACACACTAAGCACTCACTCTGCCACTGAGCTATATTCCCCCCAGTCATATTATGAGTTTAAAGTGAAGTCCCAATGAACTGCTACTGTAGGGGAAACAAAAGATTTGTTTTTTTCTGGCTTATGAGACTGTTTTATTGGGTAAAAGCCGGAGTGATCTGGGTGCAGGGCATCCTCTGCTGGACAGAATATGACATTGCAACATTACCCAAGATGCTTGGAGCAGAATGAGAGGGAGGCTTGGTTAGTCTTCAAATGCATAACCAGCTTGGGTAGGGGCACTTTAAAAATTCCTGTAGCCACATTTCAGACCATGAAACCAAATATCCAGAGGTGGTTCCCTGTACTTGCGGTTTTTAGAAGCTCACCAGTTGGTGATAAATGCTTTCAAAATATCCTTGAAAAGATTCTTACTGTCTTGGAGAAAGATGAAAGTTTCACATGTAAGATCTGATCTGCAATGGTGTTAGGTACTTACCTGAATCAGGAAGGCTTTATTCTTACGGAATGGAAACTAAATGAAAGCATTATGAATTATTATTCAGTTCTATTTACCTTGGGCTTCTCGTCCAGTATCTGCTGGCGGATTTCCTTGTGTTTCTCCAAGAGTTTTTCTTGTCGTTTACCTTGTGCCTCTTCTAACTATAATAAATTATCCAGAAAAAAAAAGAGAGAGAGAAAGAGAGGAGGGGATCATTTTCAGAAAAAAAAATGCTTTTGAGTTTGTATATATGTATATATACATATATTTTAGAAAAAAAAATGAAAGCTTTCAAATCTATGGCACATATTTAATCATGTGGTACTCTGGTCAAGAATAGCCCTTTCATTTACAGAAGACCAGACAAGTTTTGAAGGGGCACAAAGGAAAGGGTGGGATGGGATGATGGACAATAGACTTAGATTTTTGTAAATGTTTGAACATTTTCATTCATAAAATTGAAAATTAAAAATAAGAACTGCCCCTGGGTAAAAGCAGCGACTCCTAGCCAAGTGCCTTGATGCACAGGTAATCCCAGCTCCTTGGGATGTTGAGGCAGTAGAATCACAAATTCATGGCCAGCCTGGGCAATTTAGGGAGACAAAACAAAAAAATAAGAGGGACTGGGGATGTGGCTCAGTGTTAGAGGAGCACTGGATTCATTCCCTAGTAACAAAGGAAATAAACAGAGGGGGTACCTGAGTTTCTTTAGCTGCCCTTTCCTTTGTACCTCCACAAAGTTACATGCCCTCCCTTTTGCCCTGTATTCTAAATTCTAAAGAAAATCCCAGCTAAGTGATGAAGATATTAACTGGGGAATAATCTAGATTTACAGAACCCAAAACATCTGGTGACCTTCAGATAACAGAATGTATAATCCCCTTCCCTAATCTTTAGTTCTGGGCATCAACAACACAAAGCCCATAACTTGCTGTGAGGTTTAGCTTGTAGAAAAGCAATATGCTCCTTTAAAGGGAACACAGGAACTAGCCCCAGGAGGCCAAGCTCCATTGAGAGAGGAAAGAGAAAAAAAGGAGACACAAGTCTCAGATGACTAGATCCCACTTAGAAGTAGCTTTCCCACCCATTGATTCACTATCAAGTCTTTCTCTCCCTATAAAAGCCCTTTGTGCCCGCTCCCCCAATTTCCAAGGACATTTCATATCTAGGCTCCTGTCTTTGCAAATGATTCTTGCCAATTTTCAGATTAGTTCTTTTATACATAGAGTGGTTTGAAATAAACTTGCAAAAACATTGATTATGGAATGCCTGCTCCCTGAATTAGCTCTGCTGGGTGCTGGTGATAAACAGATGCAACAAGGCATGGTTTTTACTTCCAGAAGTTCTCAATGAGCTCACAAAAATGTTCACATGCAGTTTGCAAAGGATAGAGAGTAATGACCCACATACCCTTTTGATATACTGCACCACCTCCTGGATGTAGGACCGGATCATCTCTGTCTTCTCCCTGAGGCAAATGATGCATAGATCATTACACCAACTCATCTGGAACCTCAGACTTTTAGATGAAAGTTTATGAACTTTTAACATAATTATTGCTGCTGTGAGGAAGGTATAATTTGTCAGCTGCTGGACAAAGGTCTTGTTCCTCCTAAGGCATGAGCTCTGTTTTCATGAAGTGCTCTGAGTGAAGGTTGCCTGACAATTTGGACAGTGGGCATTTGGTCATTTACTTTCTATCTATAAGGCTTTGGGTGTGCCTCAATATTTTATTGAACTACCCTTTATTTGATAGTTCACTGTTAAATTGAAAAACCAGCCTCTACCTCAGAGCAAAGCCTGTCCAAGGAAGTGGGCGTGACCCTGGTCCTTGGAAAGACCGACACAGCACTCCTAGGCACATTCCCACCCTGCTGAGTTGTTTATTTACAAATAACAGGAGAGATCTGCTGCGCCAGGTGTCCCTGACTCAGTCAGGCTAGGTGGGGACCCACAACAACCCCCTAGCAGCCATCAATCAGAATGAGACTTGGAAAATATCTGGGATGCCAGATGACCCTCCCAGCAGTTTATGGTGGTTGATAACATATTGGGAAACCATGTAGTTCAGCTCGTACACCCCTCATGGCTTAAACCAATGTGTTCAAATGAATCTCTCTCTTGTACTGACCAATCACCCCTACCCAACTTGTTTCCGCCAGTGAAGGTGCTAATCATGTTTTAGAGTGTTTTATGATTTTCCCGTGGTATGTGATGATTTGCTAAGAGATGCTATCATGTATGTGAGGTCCTTGCCTTCCCCAAAGAGTGTATAAAAAACTGCTGCAAACCCTAGGCTCGGGGCTCTCAGTGTCATCGGTTGCTGTGTGTGCAAAGAGGACTGAGCTAGCTTGCAATAAACACCTCTTTGTTGCTTACATTGATCTTGGTCTCTGGTGGTCTTTTGGGGGTCCCGAATTCGAGCATAACAAAATCCCTTACAAAGGGGATCATTTGAAAGGTTAATTTGAGGAGAAATTTCACAGAAGGGTCTTGCCTGGTTAAGGATCTGTTACTCTGATGAAAAACAAAATAACTCCCAGGTACAAGTATAACTGAAAGCTCCGCCCTTGTCCCCAATGCCAACTAATACCAATTTAATAAGGAGGACACGGTTTTGAGAAAAAGGAAAAAGTTGTTTTATTGCTTTGCTAGCAAAGGAGAAACACAGAGGACTCTGGTCCCTGGGGCTGTGATTCCGCCAACAGAGGGCTTTTAAAGGAGTTTTTCAAAGGCTACTTTCCAGGTGTGCTCTGGTAGAAGGTACCAGGGCTCCTGATGGTGTGTTAGGATTTACTTGTTAATTTGGGACATATGCACTTCCTAGATTCTCTGGCAGACATCTCCTACCTGTGGAGTACAGGTAACTAAAGGGAATCTTGTTCCCCGCCCCCCAGCTTAGGGAGTAGGAGAGAGAAAAAGAAAAGAAAAACAGGTTCCTTTTAAAAATAAGCCTCAGAGCTACATTCAAAAGGTCAAGTGGACCACTCTAGGGGAGAGTGGATCTTTTAAACTTACTCTTCCATCTGGCTTTTGTCTTTGGATTTAGCTTCTGTTATCTTCTCCTGCCTCTTTTTATCCATTTTCTTCTTTAATTCTTTCTTCTCTCTGAAATCAAAATAGAAGTACAAGGTGAGGTGGGATTTGGCAAATCAAATGGTAACTTGTGTTTAATAAATGTATATAAGCATGCCATGGGAATGAAGGCTTACTTCTCACAGATTTCTTTGAGCTTCTTTAATTGGTTGTTCTGACACTCTTCAGCAACATCTGTCAACTTTTGAATGAGCTGGGGAAAGAAAATACCAGTTTGTTGTTTTACATGATCATAAATAGAGCTTCCTTCCCCTACACATTCCACCCCAAATAATAGCATCTGTGGTTAGAAAATCTGTGATGAATGTTTAATAATGGTTAAATTTGCCAGATATCTAACATTTTAAAAGAGGATAGAAGTTAAAACTGTCATATTATTAGGGCATATGGACTTTAATGTGATTTTTTAAAAAATTAAACTGAATTCATTAGATTGTTGTGCAAGTTATAGCAGCTTGACTCAAGGAAAACAATGTGGAGCTCACCATGTAGAACTAGGTCCTATCTCTACTCTATGACTTATTGAAGCTGGGATTTGGGAATAGGGTCCATATTTTCTGAATCTACATTCTTGATTTTAAATGAGATTATCACTGCCTTTAGTTTTTGGAGGTACTATCACACTTAGAAATGAGCATGATGCAAATGTAAGTTATAATCAATAATTAATTATAATTCTTGGTTTCCAGCTTTCATTCATTGTTGAATTGGTTCGAGGATGACATGAGTTATCCATCTTTTAAACTGATGTTTGTGTCTTTGCAGCTGTTACAATGGAGCATCAGAAATTCTCTTCTGTCCTTCCATTAAATTTTGCATCAGCATGAATGTAATTATTTAGTTATTTTGTTTCCAATTTTCATATCAAACCAAGAGTCAAGGGCACAATTATTTGTTCTTCATGTCCTTGGCACTTTATATAATTCTGGAAAACTAGATGCCTAGTAAGTGCTTATCAATTACATGAAGATAATTTTGCACACTAATGTCTTCTTTCTTTGTTACATTATGGAAGCTTTTGCGATTGCTCAAGTGACTATGGCCACTGGACTCAAGGCTTCTCACTGAAGCACCAAAAAGAGAGTGTGGGTTTCCTTTGAAAGGCCTTGTTGTTGTTCCCCAAAGAGAAGATTCTCCTTTTGATTAGTCTTATATAAGTGGTAATTATAATAGTGACATAGTAATATGCAGTGGAGGGTTGGCCCCAGGACCACTTTAAGATACCAAATTCCATGGAGTCCTTTATTTTAAATGGTGTAGCAATGGTATATAACCTACACATATCCTCCTGTATTTTTAATTATCTCTACATCACTTATAATACCTAACACAATGTAAATGGACAAAGACCAGGTTCCTCCTGAGCTCTGTTTTCTATTTATATATAAACATATATATTTACTTATAAATATATAAATAGTTATAATATATTTTAGGGAATAATGTTAAAAAATGTTTGCATACATTTAATGCAGAAACAAGAGTTCTTTTCAAATATTTTTGATCAACTGTTGGTTGAACCTGCAGATGTGGAACCCAAAGATACAGAGTTGACTGTAATCCTCATCCAGCAAATTTTCACTGATAATTTATATGTGCTACATATGTTAGGCACAATTTGGAGAGTTTTACATGCATATACTTATTTAATCTGAGAGTTGCCCTATGAGTTGGTGCTATGTCTTCACTTGAGAATTGAACACATCGACATAGAAGGTCAAGTCCTGGGCTCAGAGCCACATAGCTGGTAAGTGTCAGAGCTGGGTATAAATCCAAACAGGCTCCATGGCTCCTGGCCTTCACCACTACTCTATAGTGCCTTTTCATTATGGTATTTAAAATTGTTTTTGAAAGTCCTTGTCAAAGAGAATCAAAGAAGTCAAGGAAGAAATTCTCTTAAGAATTACAATATAGTACCCACATTCCTTTAAAACAAACATAAGGGGCTAGGGGCAGAGCATATAGCTAGAGCATTTGCTGAGCACATGTGAAGCTCTGAGTTTGATCCTCAGCACTGCAAAAACAAATAAATAGTAATCAATTAATTAAATAAGTAAATGAAAATTCATCTGTTAAGTGGCTTAAATCTAAACAAATATTACTGGGGCTTGGGCCACCAGAAAGTGTATTTGATCATTCGAAAGACATTGCTTGATTGTGACTGTCATAGCAATCATGAAATATTACAGACCTGATTTTCAAGAGGTTCTTCATAGCTACCCCACCTTGGATACAACATCAGAATTGCTTGGGACCTTTCTGAAAGTGCAGATTCCAGGGTTGTGCCTTAGAATCTGCATTCTTGAGATCTTCCCAGGTGAGGTGGATGCTTTGCCAGACTTTAGGGACATCTCAGTGGACTGACTCTCCCTTGTCACACAGGCCACTGTTAAATCTCTGGCGATTCGTTCGAATTCTGTGATAATTACACTTCTCTTTCCATGTTTTCATCTCCATTACTGTATCCGACTCCAAAATGTTTTCTTCTTTTCTTGTTTATGCCAGCATCTGCTTGCATTTACTGTTTTCCTCCTACCTACTGCCCTCATTCTTAGTACTGACATCCAGTCAACCAAAATACCAGACTTGAGTTCTCACACCTTTCCCGTCCACCCAGTTTGACTTTTATTTGATTTGGTGTCAGCTCCCACACAATCGCCAGCACCTCATTGCCCCGAACTCAACTTCCTTATCTCTAGAAAGGGAGGATCCTTCTCTCATAGGGTGGTTGTGAAAGCTTTAAGGAAAAACACAAATACAATTCCCAATGACCACATCCTGAGTCCTTAACTTGGTTTCCTTGCTCTTCCTTCCAAGATCAAGCTTTACTTTCTGTGCTGTCTTCTCTCATGTGTGACAGGATACATCAGCCATTGAATTTTCCCCTCTCAAAATTCCAAAATTCCTGTCTGCACTGGATAAACTCCCTCTGCATAAAAACATGTTCCTACCATTCTGTCCTCCAAGACCGGGAACACAACACACACACACACTATATATATATATATGTGAATATATAACATATGTTATATATAATATATAACATATATTTTAATGTAACTGTTAGGGGTTACCGGGGACTGAACCCAGAGGCACTCTGCCACTGGGCGACATCCCAGTCCTTTTTACTTTTCTACTTTGAGACAGGATCTTGCTAAGCAGCCCAGGCTATCCTGGAACTTGCCATCCTCCTGCTTTAGTGTTCCAAGTAGATGGGATCACAGGTCTGTGTCACCATGTGGACTTACTTGTTTTGTCCTTGACCTGTTTTTTCCATTTCTATGACTGTATATGCTCCCTCACTATCTCAATTCAGCTCAGAACATTGCTATTCACCTCATTTTGCTTTAAGATCTCAAAAACTGTTTTGTTATTAAACTTTTTGGCCTGTTGTCAGGACTTAAGTTTTATTACTCCAGAGGTTCCTAAATTTTCCAGATTCACAGAGCCCCTAGGAACTCAATAATTTCCTCCATGGCACACTTGGGCAAAAATGAATCAAAAATACAATTTCATTTATTAAATACATAGATCCAAGCAACATAGTAGTAGTAGTAGTAGTAGTTTTTATAGCGTTCAACATATGTTGTTTAGTTTCCTTCAAAAATTTATTGGGGCTTTAGTTCAGTAGCATGTTTGCCTAGCTAGCATGCATGAAGCCCTGAGTTCAATCCCCAGCATTCTCCCAGCCAAAAAAAAAAAAAAAAAAAAAC